TCTTGAGTAAATTGCTAGCAAGTCTCCAGCGAGAGCGCGACTCCAGAGCGCCGAGAGAGCGACTCCTGTATTATAAAATATAAGTTCGTCCCAAGCGAGAGCGCGATTCCTGAGTCAAATGCGAGGAAGTGTCAGGCGGGAGCGGGGGTCCTGGCTAAATTTTGAAGAAGTCTACGGCGGGAGCCGTTGTTGTTGTAGAATCCGGGGGACAGGGGCGCAGTTTAAGCCTAGTGACTTTCCCTGATACAATTAGCCTGGCGAAGGACCCCACCAGATTCAGCTGTAGGTACCGCGATCGCGTGTAGGTGTCTCCTCTGGTGGCCACGAGGCGGCGCCTGCTTTGTAGTACGCTACGCAGGGCTCCGCAGCTCCGCAGGTCACTCCACCCAAGTGAAGCTCCATGCGAGGCCGCGAAACGCTGTCCTGGGTGGGGGAGGCGCATGCGAACACTGCCAATTGGAGCCCCCTGTGGGGCCACGAAACGCTGTCCTGGGTGGGGGAGACGCATGCGAACACCGCCACTGGGGCCTCAAGTGAGCTCCCTGTGGGGCCACGGAACGCTGTCCCGGGCGACGGAAACACATGCGAACACCGCCATTGGGGCCGTAGGTGGAGCTCCGTGGGGCCACGAAACGCTGTGCTGGGCGGGGGAGACTCATGCGAACACCACCACTGGGGCCTTGAGGGGAGCTCCCTGTGGGGCCACGAAACGTTGTCCTGGGTGGGGGGGGACACGCATGCGAACACCGCCACTGGGGCCTTGAGGGGAGCTCCCTGTGGTGCCACGGAACGCTGTCCTGGGTGCGGGAGACGCATGCGAACACCGCCACTCCGCCACTGGGGCCGTAGGTGGAGCTCCCTGAGGCGCCACGAAACGCTGTCCTCGGTTGGGGAGACGCATGCGAAAACCCCCACTGGAGCCTGAGGTGGAGCTCCCTGTGGGGCCACGAAACGCTGTCCTGGGTGGGGAGACTCACGCGAATACCGCCACTTGGTCTGTAGGTGGAGATCCTTGTGGCGCCACGAAGGACCATCCTGGGTGGGAGAGACGCATGCGAACACCGCCACTGGAGCCGTAGGTGGAGCTCCGTGGGGCCACGAAACGCTGTGCTGGGCGGGGGAGACTCATGCGAACACCGCCACTGGGGCCTTGAGGGGAGCTCCCTGTGGGGCCACGAAACGCTGTCCTGGGTGGGGGAGACGCATGCGAACACCGCCACTGGGGCCTCAAGTGGAGCTCCCTGTGGGGCCACGGAACGCTGTCCTGGGTGCGGGAGACGCATGCGAACACCGCCACTGGGGCCGTAGGTGGAGCTCCCTGAGGCGCCACGAAGCGCTGTCCTGGGCGGGAAAACGCATGCGAACACCGCCACTAGGGACTTAGGTGGAGCTCCCTGTGGGGCCAGCCACGAAACGCCGTCCTGGGTTGGGGAGACGCATGCGAACACCGCCACGAGTTTGTTCTTTTATTGGGGGGGGGTAACGCCCGTTACGGGGGGGGGGGTCCGGCCCCAAGTTGGGGGTAACGGTAACGCGCCGCGGGGCCCTCGCACGGGCCCTGGTACTTATTACCAGCACAACTGTCGGCACTGTAGGCTTCGTCGTCGTCGTCGTCGCCGCTGTCGTCGTCGTCGAAGCCGACCGTGCCTGTGCACACTACACAGGCTCTGTACACCGCGATGCCTTTGTACACCACAACTGCGGCAGAAATGGTATGTGTGTGCACCACGGCGACTGAGCACATCATGACAGGCGGGTGCACCACAGCGCCCTTGTACATCTCACTGTTGGTGCACACCACGGCGCCCGCGTGCACCACAACTGCTGTTTCAACGCCCCGTGTTTGCACCAGAATGCCAGCGTACACCACAAAGCTTGTGTACACCTGTAAGGTACCGGCGGAGCGAAAGTCCAGAAGATCGCTCGGGGCCCAACCGTGGCCCTTTCCTTATGTGAGCTGCTTGTAGATCTTAATTTTTCTGGTTCAATGTGAAGGCTCGATGTGACCTCGACTGTGAGAAATCCTCATTCCCCTCCTTCATATCCCATCCCCACCCAATCAAATTCAGTATGTAATTTGTTTGTGAATGTTGTTTTTTATTGCCCTGGGCACGGCCCCCTGCATCAGGGCCCGCAATGCCTGTGCACACCAGGGCAACTGTGAACACCGCAACATTCACGTATAACATAACGCCCGTGTGCGGCCTGTACACACCACATCTCTGGGAGCTACGAGCGCCGCAATCCGACCGCCGCACCAACGCCTCTCAGCAACAGGGCACCACTGCGTCCGTGAGAGCACCGCGCCACGCCTGTGAGCGATGATGATGATGATGATGATGATGATGATGATAATGATGATGATGATGATGATGATGATGATGATGATGATGATGATGATGCTGATGATGCTGATGATGATGATTGGATGACATGGCGATGACGAAGATGATGCTGATGATGATGATGATGATGATGATGATGATGCTGATGATGATGACGACGACGACGACGAGGACATGCGCAGGGCAGAGGCAGGGATGGGAGGAGGGAGGAGGGGAGGAGGAAGGAAGGAAGGCAGGAAGGAAGGAACGCGGGGCGCTGTTTCTTCAAAACGATGACCCAACACCACATGATGGTTGGGAAACAACGGGTGCGAGCCCCGGGGAAAGCACGTCAATGAAAAAACACAACGGTCACGGAAGGGGGGATCAACAATAATTATTTTTCAGTAAGGGGCAGTTCAACAGCAACAACAACAACAACCACAACCACAACCACAGCAACAACAAAAACATCAATCATGTTAAGACTGCTCGCTCACATGTGCTCGCGTGCAATTCAACACGTATGTCCCAAACCTTCGGTGTCCGCCCTCTTTGTCCTCGATCGTACCACCTTGGGGGCAGATCTTCCTTACCTGCCGCACGAATTGAGCGCAGCCCCTAAAACATGGGAAAAGAGGACGGATGGAAGGAGGAGGGAGAAGGATGGAGCACGAGAGAAATCAGCAGGAGGGGGGCTAAGAGCCGAAAACACGTGGCAGGACCAGACGGGCAGGTCGGGCGGGCAGACCCTAGCGGGCGGGTCGGGAAGGCGGGCTCAGGCGGCCAGGTCGAGCAGGCGGGTTGCTGAAGCTTGAGTCCTGCATAAATTGCAAGGAAGTCTCAAGCGATAGCGCGATTCCCCCATAAATCGTGAGAAAGGCCAAAGCGAGAGCGTGGCTCCTGAGTGTCGAGGGCGCGGCGTCTGACTAAATTGCCAGGAAGTACCACCCGAGAGCGCGATTCCTGAGGAAGTCCAGCGCGAGCGCGCGATTTCGGAATAAATTGTGAAGACGTATCAGGCGGGAGCCGTTGTTGTTGCAACTCGGGGCCAAGGGGCCAGTTTGACATAACAAAAAAGGGTGCGAGTCCCAGGAGTGACACCTCAATGAGAAAAAACAAGTTGCGCCGGGGGGTAACCGATATTCCTCTCGAGAAAATAAATTTCACCACCATCACCATACGGAATAACAACATCCACATCCACATCCACATCCACATCCACATCCACATCCACACCCACATCGTCATCATCAGCATCATCATCAGCAGCATCATCACCACCACCACCACCACCATCATCATCATCATCATCATCATCATCATCATCATCATCATCATCATCATCATCATCATCATCATGCTCCACCCAGTGTTCCTCTCTCGCCCCAGTAGGTCATCCTTATGTTCCCTATCATGTTGCTCTTACTACTAGACATTATCGCTTGGATCCCTCTCAATTATCCATGAGCGACTGCATTGGCCAATCGTATACTCCTGACTGTGTTGTGTCTCACATGGTCTCGTACGCGAAGCGACTTGGAATGTACTCAAGGCGGTCTCGACGGTTCTCAAGGGATTGTATGTCTTCTCCTCCTCATCATCATCAACACCACCACCACCACCATCACCATCACCATCACCATCACCATCACCATCACCATCATCATCATCATCATCATCATCATCATCAACATCATCATCATCATCATCATCATCATCATCATCATCATCATCATCATCACGACCACGACCATCATCATCAACATCACCATCATCATCCTCAGCCTCAGTTTCATGATCATCCTCATCGTCATCGTCGTCATCATCATCATCATCATCATCATCATCATCATCATCATCCTAATCAGCATCATCGTCACCATCAGAACCATCATCATGAGCAGCAGCATCATCACCATCACCACCATCATCCTCAGCATCAGCATCATCATCAGCATCATCACCATCATCATAAGCAGCATCGTCATCATCAGAATCATCAATCATCATCATGATCATCATCATCAGCATCATCATCGTCATTATCAGCGTCATCATCATCATCATCATCAGCATCAGCATCATCACCATCATGATCATGATCATCATCATCATCACCATCATCATCGTCATCATCATCGACATAATCATCATCATCATCATCATCATCATCATCATCAGCATCATCATCGTCATCATCATCATCATCATCATCATCATCATCATCATCATCATCATCATCATATTATTATTCTTCATCATCATCATCCTCATCATCATCATCATCATCATCATCATCATCATCATCATCATCATCATCATCATCATCATCATCATCATCATCATCCTCGTCATCCTCGTCATCCTCGTCATCCTCCTCCGCCTCCTTTCTCCCTCCCTACTCCTTCCTCCCTCCTCCCTGCGCCCTGCTCCCGTATCCCTGCTCCCCCCGATTACCTCTGTCTCGTTCCGTCAAGCTTTTCTCAGACCCTCCACGGAGGACGTCATGACGGCTCCAGATGCTTGGACTACGATGCCTGGCGACTCAGGAAGTCTCACACGACTCGTCGACGTGTATGAGAAGTCACACAGGAGGCATCACAGCAGCAGTGCCGCCAGGACGCTCCAAGACCATGCTGTCCAACAATGCCCCAATGGCGCAGCCCAGTGAGCGTATGTGGCATAACTGAGCCTGTTGAATATCTAGGCTGCCATGCTCCTCCTGCAGCATCGACTCCACCATCTCCAGCGTTCGCTCCGCCCTGGCGAGCTCCCACTTGGCGGCCTTCGTCTGAAAAAAGCCTGCCGCACTTTCCAGCCTCTCGGGTGCGCCGAAGAGGAAGGTCAGGAAGCGGGGGGGGGTCAGCGCAGCATGGCCCGCAGCACTTGCGCGGACGAGTGGAGGGCCAGGGGACATGTGAAAGGAGAAGCGTGGGCCACGACCCTCTGGGCGAGCCCGCAGGCCCCTGGGCGGGGCGGGCGGGCCATCTGTCAGGCCCCCCTCGGCGATCCACGGGCGGCTGGGGGCCGACGCATCCCCCCCCCTCTGAGCTGGGCCCCTGGCGGCTGTCCGGTCATGCCTCGGACCCCCGGCGGCCGTCCGGGGCGCTCCGTGAGGCCCCCGGAGCGCTCTTGGCGAGGCGCAGCCCCTGAAAGGCACCCTGAGGCTGGACAGCCGCCGAGCGCCGACGAGAACGTCCTCGAGCCTCGAGCCTCGAGCCTGGAAACTTCGCCCCCCCAGGGCGCATCCTCTGCTTACTCGC